TGTTCACTTATTTTTTCACTGTAAAACACTGGTCCAAAACCCCCTACCTTTCCTAAAGCCTCCTTGTTCATTGCTATCCTATTCTCCGTCTTCTCTTAATTCTTTCAATAATAACTCTACCATACACTTTGCCAGGTATATCAACAGACTTATCCCCCTATAATTTTTGCACTCTCTTTTATCCCCTTTGCCTTTATACAAAGGAACTATGCATGCTCTCTGCCAATCCCTAGGTACCTTACCCTCTTCCATACATTTATTAAATAATTGCACCAAACACTCCAAAACTATATCCCCACTATATCCGTGCAAGACACCCAAAAGCACAATGAAAAAAAAAAGTTTTACCACATGAAATATTAAGTTTAATGCACACAAACTGAAGAAGACATGCACAGTTAGTAGTACTCTACTAACAATAGAATACATGATACCTTTAATGAAGATCTGGTGATGATTGATGGGATGGGAGGAGGGGAGAGTGTTGAACTTATTGTTTAGAAGGGGAATTCCCTTCCATTAGGACTTGAGGTAGCAAGTCCTTTTCCGGGGTTATTTCCCTTCTTCTTTTAATGCCACTAGGACCAGCTTGAGAGTCACTGGACCTCTGTCGCACAACAAGTCTGTCCTTAGAGCTCTGTACCCCCCCGTTCCTTTACGATTTGTCTAAAATGGGCCACAACATTGTCATTGTAATAGTCACCAGCACGGCTTGCAATAGCTGTGTTGGGGTGATTTTCATCCATAAAGGTTTGCAGTTCAACCCACTTTGCCCAAATTTCCTTAATTTTTGAAGTAGGCACAATGGATTCCACTACTGGCATAGGCTTCTCAGGGTTAGCCCCAAACCCTTCAAAATCTTTCTTAATTTCCACACTAATTCTCACCCTTTTTACCACAGGGTTGGCACTAGAAGCTTTCTTGGGGCCCATGGTGACTTATTTTGCAGAAACAAGCACCAAAGACACCGTGATAACATGGAATGTACCGAATGTATGCTTAGATGCGAGCACACTGGCTGGCTTGTAAACACTGGCACTCACGTGGACGCGTCCCGGACGAATCGCGTGTGGCGGGTTTTTTAACGAGTGGCGAGGCAAAATTTTTGTGTTAAAATGTATCGAATGCAAGATTTAACGTATACTGATGCCATCGAAAGCCGGGGGTCCACTGTATATGCATCGGTGATTTCACCCACTTTGAGCCCTATTTTTGGCCAATTCCATTATTCCAGTCGATCAAACTCAAAGATGCCAATTTCAAAATAGGGTCCAGGATAAACAGTGCAGGCATTCCTGGCACTAAAATAACATTTTCTCTGCTCATTAGTCACATCTCCAGGCCCCTCTTATATTACTCTTGCTTTCCATTTTGAATTTTTATTCTCGCAAATAATAGAAGATTTACTGTTAGGCAGACTACTGCATTATTATATAATTGTATAAATAATATCAATCCATTTGTGACTGTGTATTAGACTGGCCAGTTGGACACGTATTGGATGGTGTTGTCATTTGTTTACTCTTGAACATCGGCAAAAATCGAACATTTCCACTACTTTGAGCTCAGTTTCAAGGTACTTTTCATTGTGAAATCAATCAAAATCATCTCTATTTTTGTAATATATCTTCCAGTCTATCAAATGAGATAAAGAAACGAAAATACAACCATAAATACCATAGGAAAATACACCTCAAAGTACACGTTTTAATCCAGGTGGAGTTTTTTTTTTTCTCGTGCACTGCATGCTGCAGGATTTTTTTTGTACTGCACACACTGACCATGCAGATCCATTCTCTCACATGTAGGTCTACCAGCTTTCTCCTGCTAGATTTGAAGCTGCTAGAATTTTGAGGTATTAGTATATCACCAACACTGGCTTATAAGCCGTACCTGTACATCACCGAAAGTGAAAGGGTTAAGGTACTGACTAGCATGGAACCTACATTTGATCAAGCACATAAAGGAACTAAAGAAGGGCCTATGGTTTCCAACAAGGGGGATGGGCTACAAGGACAGACTTGAGAATCTCAAACAAGCAATACTAGAAGAGGAAGATTGAGGAGAACATGATTATGACATACAAAATCCTCAGAAGATTAGATAAGAGTGGACAAGGACAGGCTGTTTGGGATGCAAGGAGTGGGAGCCAGGGGGACAGTGTTAGCCGGTAAAGACATAGACAAACCATAGAAACATTGGAAAGTACTCTTTCAGTCTTATGGTGTTAAGTGGAATTCAGTACATGAAGGATTGATGGATAAATGCTGTACACGCTTTTAAGAGTAGATGCGATTGGGCCTTGGAGATCAGGACTCGGCAAGAACGAAGTATAGTTAAAATTCTAAGTAGATCTATTTCTGTTAAAAGTTAGAAATCCATATAAATATAGTTACCTGTTTGCCATGCTTTACACTTTTTCTCTTGCTCATTCTACTCTGCCTTATCAATCTGTAGAATTTATGAAATGTGTAGAATTACTATCATGATTATACTTATTGCCATACTGAGTTACAAGTAGAAAATATAAATTGGAATTTTATGTAAACAGTAATCCAAAGTCAAGTGTTTTCTCTTAGGCACTGGTAAACAAGTATGGCTAGGGCAGCAAGAGGCAGGGTAATGCATAAATTGTCCAGATTAATTCTGATGCTCACAATAAACAATTTAAGGGATTTTTTTGGTGGGGGAAATGTGAAGTGTTTGAGCCATTAGATTATGGAATATGGGTGGTCAACCGTAGTAGATACGTTCTCTTAGAAAGTTTAGTCTCTCATTATTTTTTCTTTGTTTATGGTGGCATTTCCTTACAGATGACAATTTCTCTACGTTTAGAAGATAAGATGAACCGGCAATTATCGTGTGTTGTGGAAGATGGGGAGGGTGCTGCGGCACTCACCGACGAGCTTGTTCGATATGGCTTTATCAGTCAGGTAAGTGTCCTGATTTGAAATAGGGAAAATTGTAGATTTAAATGTTTTTATATGAATCGTGGTGTTCTTGTTTCATTAAGAAGCTGGCAAGATTTCTTACATTTTGTGCATGCATGTGTAATTGCCTTGTTTATTATTCATACCTTTTTATGAAGTTATATCTGGTTAGAATGTCTTCTCTCTTTCTTTTATTCTACAAACAAGGATGTCATTGTATTTCCAGTGTCTAAATTCCTTCTTCATGGTACTTTTTTTTTTTTAACACTGGGTTCCATATTTTACATGTCCAAGCATTTTCTTCTTCTCTGTTGGCAATATCCTAAACATTTTCTATTTTTCCTATATGTTTGCTTTGGTATGGATAGCATAATTGCATTCAAATTTTGGTTTACAGTGTATTGTAAAAAGTTATCATTACACTATTCATAAATAGTATCTGAAAACTATTTTAAAACATTCCAACTACATATAGTATACAAGTTTCTCGGTGCTACATTCACATGGGTTTTTGATGATAAGCTATTGTTTAGAATCATCCCCATTTTTTTTTTTTTTTTTTTTTAAGATTGGTTAGTTCTGAGCCTTTTATCCATTTTCCTCCCATTCACATTACATGCTACTATTTGCATTAATTTCTCACATTTTCATTGCATGGCGTTATTTGTTGAATTCTATCATTTATTTTTATCTCTTGCTCAATTTATCTAACTCTTATTGTATTGCTTTACAAATAAGAAGAGTAATTACATATTCATCAGATGAAGAAAAAGGCATTTGGGCAATTATAAATGAGTTATCATTAGACAGTTACATAAATATTATACAGTAGGTTGTAGGGCCTCACTTATACAGCGGGTTAGGTTCCAGGCTACGCCAGAAAACGGACATCGCTGGAAAGCAGATCCCACCAAGGCGGGTTGACCCAAAAGAAGAGAAACCCAAAAAGAATGAAAAACTTTCACTATCAGTCAACTTTCACCATCACTCATACATAATCACTGTCTTTGCAGAGACACCCAGATACAACAGTTTAGCCCTCCAGACTGCCAATATCCCAGACCCCTCCTTTAAAATGCAGGCATTGTACTTTCCATTTCCAGGACTCGAGTCCGGCTAACCATTTTCCCCTGAATCTTCACAAATTATTACCCTGCTCACACTCCAACAGCTCGTCAGGTCCCAAAAAACCATGTGTCTCCATTCTTTCTATCTAATACGCTCATGCACACTTGCTGGAAATCTAAGCCACTCGCCCACAACCCCCTTTACCCCTTTCTTAAAACCCTTTCCTAGGATGCCCCCTACCTCGCCTTCCTTTCCCTACAATTTATATGCTCTCCAAGTCATTTTTACTTTGTTCCATCCTTGTAAATGACCAAAACCACCTCAACAACCCCTCTTCAGCCTCTGACTAATACTTTTAGTAACTCCACACCACCTCACTAATTTCCACATTATGAATTCTCGGGCATAATATTTACACCAAACGTTGCCCTTGGGACAAACATCCCCACTTCTCCAGCCTCCTTGCTGCAGATTTAAAAAACCCATGCTTCACACCCATAAAAGAGTGTTGGTACCACTATACTCTTGTACCTTCCCTTCTTTGCCTCAATAGATATCATTTTTTTCTCCACAGATACCTCAAAGCACCACTCACCTTTTTTCCTTTTTCATTTCTATGGTTAACCTCATTCTTCATAAACCCATCTGCTGACAAGTCAACTCCCAAATATCTGAACACATTAACTTCTTCCATACTTCCACCCTCCAATGTGATATCCAGTTTTTCCTTATCTAAATAGTTTGATACCCTCATCACCTTACTCTTATATATGTTCACTTTCAAATTTCTGCCTTTACACACCCTCCCAAACTCGTCCATTAACCTTTGCAACTTTTCTTTAGAATCTCCCAAAAGCACAGTATCATCAGCAAAAAGCAACTGGCAACTACCATTTGTATTTGATTCCCCATAATTTAATCCGACCCCTCCACAACACCCTAGCATTTACTTCTTTTACAACCCCATCTATAAATATGTTAACCCTTTCAGGGTCCTTGCCGTAGATCTACGGCTTTACGTTCAGGGTCCAAACCGTAGATCTACGCCATGAGCTCAGCTCACTCTGATAAGCTGTGAGCAGTAAATTTGGGCCTAGATATGAGAGAATGCATCTATGTGGTATGTGTGCACCACATATAACAAATCCTGCAGCACATAGTGCATGAGAGAAAAAAACTGAGACTGTAACTTTCGATTAATACAGCGACTTTGCAGTGTTTTTTCGCATGTTTTTTATAGTTGTATTTGCAATTTCTTGGTCTCATTTGATAGAATAGAAGATATACTACAGAAATAGAGATGATTTGATTGGTTTTATTGCTGGAAATGGCTTGAAACTGAGCTCAAAGCAGCAGAAATGTTAAATTTTTGCCGATGTTCAAGAGTAAACAAATGACCTCACACGTCTAATACACGCCAGCTGGTGGGTCTAATATACGTTCACAAATGTGCTGATATTATTTATACAATTATTACAGTATTGCATAACTAAATCTTCTGTTTTTTGGTTTGAATAAAAATTCATTATGTGAATAAAAAATCAAAATGGAATTCATTTGTAAAGCCTGAAAACATAAGTAATGAACAGAGGAAATGTTAGTTTAGTGCCAGGAATGCCTGCATTGTTTTTTCTGGACCCTATTTTGAAATTGGAATATTTCGAACTTTTCATTAAATTGGCCAAATTACTAATTTCCGGTCACTTTATTTTGTTGTTGAAACAGTTGACTTGGCTATTTCTTGGGCTCAGTCTATAGAATAGAAGTAATGCTAGTGAAATACCTAAGAATTTGGATGACTGGAATACTGTAATTGGCCTAAAATGGGAGTCAATGTCAGCAAAATCGCCAATGCATAAATATCGCCGACACACCAAAATTCACGAGAGCATAATTTCGTCAGTTTTCCATCAAATTTCATACTTTTTGTTTTATTACCTTCAGAAAAAGATTCTCTATCATTTCATAAGAAAAAATAACAAAATTATTTTTTGAAAATTTTTGGACCCTGGTGCACACTTTGAAATTGGGCCTCTGGACCCTGAAAGGGTTAAACAACCATGGTGACATTACACATTCCTGTCTAAGACCTACTTTTACTGGGAAGTAATCTCCCTCTCTCCTACACACCCTATCTTAAGCCTCACTATCCTCATAAAAACTCTTTACAGCATGTAGTAACTTACTACCTATTCCATACATATGCAACATCTTCCACCTTGCTTCCCTATCCACCTTATCATATGCCTTTTCTAAATCTATAAATGCAATGAAAACTTCCCTACCTTTATCTAAATACTGTTCACATATATGCTTCAATGTAAACATTTGATCTATACATCTCCTACCCATTCTAAAGCCTCCTTGTTCGTCTGCAGTCCTGCTCTCTGTCTTACCCCCAGTTCTTTCAATAATAACTTTACCATACACTTTACCTAGTATACTCGGTGAACTTTTTCTTGCAACAAACCGGCTGTATCCCACTAAGGCAGGGTGGCCCAAAAAGAAAAACAAAAGTTTCTCTTTATAAATTTAATATATAGGAGGGGTTACTAGCCCCTTGCTCCTGGCATTTTAATCACTGCTTAAGACATGCATGGCTTACAGAGGAAGAATTCTGTTCCACTTCCCCATGGAGAACTTGGTAAACTTCTTTCTTTCTTTCAACACATTGGCCGTATCCCACCGAGGCGGGGTGGCCTAAAAGGAAAAACGAAAGTTTCTCCTTTTACATTTAGTAATATATACAGGAGAAGAGGTTACTAGCCCCTTGCTCCTGGCATTTTAGTCGCCTTTTACAACACGCATGGCTTACGGAGGAAGAATTCTGTTCCACTTCCCCAAGGAGAACTCGGTATTAAATTTATCCCCCTATAATTTTTACAAACTCTTTTGTCCCGCTTCCCTTTATATAAAGGAATTACACATGCTCTCTGCCAATCCTTGGGTACCTTCCCTTCTTTCATACATTTATTGAACAAAAATGCTAACCACTCCAACACTATAATTCCCCTGCTTTTAACATTTCTGTCATGATCCTGTTAATTCCAACTGCTTTACTCCCTTTCATTCTACATAATACCTCACGCACCTCCCTCACACTCACATCCTGCTCTTCTTCACTCCAGAAAGATGTTATACCTCCCTGGCCACTGCATGAAATTACCACTTCGCTTCATCAACCGCGAATTCTGGACGCAGTTAAAAAAAATGCCTATAAATACCTATTTTTATTGTTTAAACCCTCAATATGCCCCCAAAACACTTTAATTTCAAACTCAGCTTCATACATCACCTTAAAAAAAAAAAAAGAACATAAAGATAAACCCATATACAGTACTGTACTACTGTGTCTCCCGCAGTGCTTGAATGTAAAATACCGATGTTACCCCCATATTTTTTTTTTTTTTTTTTTTATTATTATTATTATTATTATTATTATACTGCACACATTGACCACACAGACCCATTCTTTCATGTGTAGATCTACCAGCTTTCTCCCACAAGATTTAAAGCCACAAGAATTTTGGCATAGTTTTACGGGACCGATACTGTCTTCAAAGCCATAATATTGCGGGACTGACACTGAAAGGGTTAAAGATTAGTGGTGATAAAGCATCTGCTGATCACGAATAGCTAAGAAATTTATTGATGTGTTTACCAAGATTGTTGCTGATGAAAATCTAACAGCAGAACAAATGTACAATGCTGATGAGATATTACTGTTTTGGCATTATTGCTCCAGAAAAACATTGACTACAGCTGATGAAGAGCTCCTACAGGAGTAAGGATGCCAAGGACAGATTAACTGTGCTGGGATATGCTAATGCAGCAGGCACATGGTAGGCAAAAGCCTGTGTTCTTGCTGTTTTAAAGGTGTGAATACCTTACCAGTCATTATTATGCTGACAAAAGGGTATGGATCACCAGGAACATCTTTTCTGATTGGTTTCACAAATATACAAAATCCAAAACACTTTCGGTCCCAAGCATTTTGGATAAGGGATTCTCAGTTGTACTTCCTTTCGCACTTCACTCCGCTCTTAAGTCTGCCTCTGTTATAGTCTCCACACTTGCTAGTCTCTGATCAAACATATTAAACCTTTAGCATGCCCCACTCTGCAATGCTGTATAACTCTTGTGAGTTTAGCACTTTATTATGATTATAATAGTAATAATTGTATGATTATGCATGAGGGGCTCTGATAAAGTTGTGTTTAGTAGAATACAAAGTAACACTACATATTTTTTTTTTTTTTTTTTTTTTTTTTCTTCTCCTCTCCTCAAACAAGCGGCACGTCTCCCCCAAGGACAGGATTGACCCAAAAAAGAAAGAAAATCCCAAAAGAAAATACTTTCATCTCATTCAACACTTTCACCACACTTGCCCCCATTATCCTGTTTTTGCAGAGGGCTCAGGGAAAAACAAACAGTTTAGAAGCATTACACTATAAGATACACACAACTACCCTCAACTGCCATATCCCCAAACCCCTCCTTTAAAGTGCAGGCATTGTACTTCCCATTTCCAGGACTCAAGTCACACTTTATGAAAATAACGGTTTCCCTGATCCCTCACTAAAATTACCCTGCTCACACTCCAACAGGATCGTAGGTCCCAAAGTACTTCGTCTCCATTCACTCCTATCTAACACCTCAGCCACGCTGCTGGAAAGTCCAAGCCCCTCGCCCAAAACCTCCTTTTTACCCCTCTTCCAACCTTTCGAAGAGACCCCTACCCCGGCCTTCCTTCCCTTAGATTTTATGCTTTCCATGTCATTCTACTTTGATCCATTCTCCTCTAAATGACCAAAACCACCTCAACAACCCCTCTTCTGCCCCTTTACTAATACTTTTATTAACTCCACACCTTTTCCTAATTTCCACACTGAATTTTCTGCATAATTATTTACACCACCCATTGCCCTTAGACCCGGACATCTCACTGCCTCAAACCGTCTCCCCGCTGCTGCATTTTCCACCTAGCTTCACACCCTATAAAGGGGTTGGTTTACTATACAGTGGACCCCGGTTAACGTATTTTTTCACTCCAGAAGTATGTTCAGGTGCCAGTACTGACCGAATTTGTTCCCATAAGGAATATTGTGAAGTAGATTAGTCCATTTCAGACCCCCAAACATACACGTACAAACGCACTTACATAAATACACTTACATAATTGGTCGCATTCGGAGGTGATCATTATGCGGGGGTCCACTGTACTTTCATACATTCCCTTCTTTGCCTCCATAGATAACGTTTTTTGACTCCACATATACCTCAACGCACCACTCACCTTTTTTCCCTCATCAATTCTATGATTAACCTCATCCTTCATAAATCCATCCGCCGACACGTCAACTCCCAAGTATCTGAAAACATTCACTTCTTCCATACTCCTCCTCCCCAATTTGATATCCAATTTTTCTTTATCTAAATCATTTGACACCCTCATCACCTTACTCTTTTCTATGTTCACTTTCAACTTTCTACCTTTACGCACATTCCCAAACTCATCCACTAACCTTTGCAATTTTTCTTTAGAATCTCCCATAAGCACAGTATCATCAGCAAAAAGTAACTGTGTCAATTCCCATTTTGAATTTGATTCCCCAAAATTTAATCCCACCCATCTCCCGAACACCCTAGCATTTACTTCCTTTGCAATCCCATCTATAAATATATTAAACAACCATGGTGACATTACACATCCCTGTCTAAGACCTACTTTTACCGGGAAGTAGTCTCCCTCTCTCTACACACCCTAACCTGAGCCTCACTATCCTCATAAAAACTCTTTACAGCATTTAATAACTTACCACCTATTCCATATACTTGCAACATCTGCCACATTGCTCCTCTATCCACTCTATCATATGCCTTTTCTAAATCCATAAATGCAATAAAAACTTCCCTACCTTTATCTAAATACTGTTCACATATATGCTTCAATGTAAACACTTGATCTACACATCCCCTACCCACTCTGAAACCTCCTTGCTCATCCGCAATCCTACATTTTGTCTTACCTCTAATTCTTTCAATTATAACCCTACCGTACACTTTTCCTGGTATGCTCTGTAAACTTATTCTTCTATAATTTTTACAGTCTCTTTTGTCCCCTTTCCCTTTATATAAAGGGACTATACATGCTCTCTGCCAATCCCTAGGTACCTTCCCCTCTTTCATACATTTATTAAACAAAAGTACCAAGCACTCCAACACTATATCCCCCCCTGCTTTTAACATTTCTGTCATGATCCCATCAGTTCCAGCTGCTTTACCCCCTTTCATTTTACGTAATGCCTCACGTACCTCCCCCACACTTACATTCTGCTCTTCTTCACTCCTAAAAGATGGTATACCTCCCTGACCAGTGCATGAAATTACTGCCTCTGTTTCTTCCTTAACATTTAAAAGTTCCTCAAAATATTCTCGCCATCTACCTAATACCTCCATCTCCCCATCTACTAACTCCCCTACTCTGTTTTTAACACTACGTACTCTGATTAAATTTAAGAGAGAGTCAACAGTGAAATAGCAAACCTCAACCTCTTTTTAAGTACAGCTTCTCCTTGCTTAACGACGGAGTTCCGTTCCTAAGACCACGTCATTAAACAAATTCATCGCTATGTGAGGAGCATACTATAATGGTAGTAAGTTTGTGTCAACCATCTTTGATATTGTTTTTTTACACAGAGTTTGACAAGGTTTAGGATCCCTAGCTTTATTGACAAGCTATTTACAGGTTAAGGATTCCTAACTTTATTGGCAAGCTAAGAGCTGTTACCTGCATCATCTCATTTGAAGATAAGAGATAAGATAAGATTTCGTTCGGATTTTTAACCCCGGATGGTTAGCCACCCAGGATAACCCAAGAAAGTCAGTGCGTCATCGAGGACTGTCTAACTTATTTCCATTGGGGTCCTCAATCTTGTCCCCCAGGATGCGACCCACACCAGTCGACTAACACCCAGGTACCTATTTACTGCTAGGTGAACAGGATAACAGGTGTAAGGAAACGTGTCGAAATGTTTCCACCCGCCAGGAATTGAACCCGGGCCCTCCGTGTGTGAAGCGGGAGCTTTAGCCACCAGGCCACCGGTGAAAGCATTTTTATTGTTTTAATGTCACCTTTGCACCATTTATAACATTTCTGGTATATTTTTAAATGTTTATACAGTAGTGTACTGCATATTGAAATAAACAGAATAGAGGAAATCAGCTCTAATATACATGGTACATTATTTAGGTATGAATACTGGTCAGAAAGCCTGTCGTAAGTCCAAGGCATCAGTAAACAAGTATGTCGCTAAGTGAGGGGAGGCTGTATAATTGCTATATTGAAAATACAACAGAAGCAGCAGCCGAAACGAGACTTTCCCATACATCTCTCTCACACATTTACAGGTACCATCCGACTTACGACCGAGTTCGGTTCCGACAAACCAGTCGAACCTTACTACTGAATATCAACAACATTTTTGTAATGACTTTATTTTATTGTTTTATTTTGGTATTTCATTTTTTACTTTGCTTTTTTTGCTGTTAGCACTGTATTTTATACTGTAAGGTTTAGGATAAGCACTGTGTACAACACAAACAGTTGTTTATTTCCCAGAAATTTGGCATAGAAAACACATTGTAAGTCGAATGGTTGTATGTCGAGCAGGTTGTAAGTCGGATGGTAGGTGTGTTCACTTTTTATTATCAATCAGTCACCAACTTGTTCATCACCTGGGCCATTTGAGTATCTTGTGTTTTGTATATCTTTTTTTGGTACTTCCAGTCAAGATTTATTTATTTTATATACAGTTCTGTATCTAAATTTTTTATATAAAATTATATGGGTATAGTATACTATCTCATTATATTTTAATAATTTATTAATTTATATCTTCATTCTATTCTTTCAGATGGATAAAGATGAAATTACTAGCTTAATAGAAGACCATTTAACACGAGTGCGGAATGGATCAACCATGACAATGTCAATGGGGCGGACTGGAAGTCTAGGAAACCCTCTGCAAAATGAAGATGGTTTAAGTGTGATGCATACCCCAACTATCACCACAGCAACTAGATAACATTCATGATCCTCCTTGCACCCTCAAGCACAGCCTCACAATATTACACACCACACACAGTTTTTTACTAGGTGAAAGCTTATTAAGAGGTTTTTCCTCTTGCAACCTGTCGGAGGAAACTTTTTTATGTGCATTTATTGAAGGTGAAACTACCAGACCAAATGATTTTGTGTTGTTACATAAGAAGTTGCTCAGTAACTCAACATTATGTTATCATTTGTGATTTGCAGCATTTGGACATTGTCAGGTGCATTTGGGAGTCAGTGTGCTGGGAAAATTTACTTTTATATAATATTTTTTATCATTATTATTATTGTAATTATTATTCTTGTCTAGGTATAATTACAAGTGACCTCCCTAGTATTGTGATATAACATGTGTTTTGGATCCCCTCAGAAGTGATCACTAACATGTAAGGTTCTTCCCCCATATTCCTTACCTGCTCCATGCTTAAGCCAAATAGAAACATAGTTTCCCACAGAATTGTATATGTAGCTTCTGGGAGGGCAATGGCCACAAGAGAGTGAATGTGTGAGAGGCTGGAGTATCACTAGGTATCTTTGCTACTATTGCAGTAACAACAACTTATTGAGTGTTAGGTTTTCTGTTTTAAAATCTAAATTGCCTCAAGTTTCTTTGAATAGGTCAAGGGCAGGTGATTGTCATGAGACAAATCATCAGCAAAACCCATTATCATTTTCATGAAATTAAATGTTACAAATATTTTCTTATCTTTTTGTATATGAAACTAATTATGGTGAGTTGCCTATTTTTATGAAAGGGACATATCAGTGAAGCAAGTAAACTGACTTAGTCTTGTAAAATGCTTGTCTGTCTGCTGCTCTTGTGGTTCACACATCTGTGCTTGCAAGAATGTATGGCAGTGTACATGTAGCTGTTGATCAATCACGTGCCTCTAAATGGATTACAAGGATCTGATTCTTTGTTATGTATGTCACTGTGCTCCATGCTGGCACTTAATATACATATTTTTTAACATCCTTTACACAGTTTTCCAGCTTAGTTAAGTGGTGCCCCTTACAGAAAGAGGGTCAGCCTAATCTGGGGCCTTAAAAAAGTTATTGGCTCATTATATAATATATTTTTCTTTTCTGTATCATAAAAGATAGCTGCCAATTTTGCCAGTTGCATATATCACTTGTTTTTTGACTTACACTGTGATGTTCATTGTTTGCCAACTAAACTGCATAGAATAGTTTTCACCTGAAATTGGTAATCCATTATTCTTTAGGCAGTTTGAGTCTACATTTAAAGTAGTGCAGCATAAAAATTCCACATATTTGCTGCAAGTATTTATTGTCATGGAAGATTGCTTTAATAGCGTACTTATCAGTAAAATAAGAGGTCAAGCTGCTTCATAATGTCATTAAAAGTTTAATAAAACTGTCAGCAAAAAAAATTTTTTTTATCATAGTTATTTCAAAGATTAATGTAAAAACACCTTAATATCTCATGAATTAGACAATATGATACATGTTGTGTATCATAATAGCACCAGGTTGAGTAATTGTGAGATAAGCATCTGTAGTTATATCATAATAGCATCTGCATAATTATTTTACTGGTTATTGCTAATCTCTCAACTTTTATAAGAATGACTTTTGTGGTAGACTTAAAATTAACTTAGTACACACAAAATTTTCACAGGGAGACATTTAAAATATTAAGTCCATCCATACCTTGTCCTGATAAAAAAAATAGATACAAAAACTAAGCTTGTCTTTATGGATATAGACCAGCTGTTGTAATAACTTGTTCATAATTTTTCCTTGAATAGGGTATTCCAATGTTAATTTACTCCTATGTATGAAAACAAATTGCTTTTATAACCTGATTTGGAAATTTATTTCCCTATTTATTTCATGAGAGAAGTTGACTTGTAAGGAACATATATAATATTGATAAAAGAAGAAATTACATAATATAAACATCCTGGGAATAAATACATAAATAATTTTCTTTGAAACCAAGCATTATTTAAAGGTTGTCTTTACATTCAGTGAAAACCTTGTGTTTTGAGTTATTTCATTTTTATTTACTGAAACAGTTGATGTTTCCTAAATTATTAATTTTTTTTTTTTTGGGGTGAGGAGGAAATGAATGAAAATATAAATACCCTATGTGAATAATGTGTGTTACTTTAGATTGCTGTTATTGTCGGGCGTTGAGTGGATACCATGCTTGTTTCATCATTAGTAACAGAGTTGTTTAAGCAGGGCATTATGAGGTAATCCAGTTCTGTGCTGTCTTTACAAGATAGATAACAACATAAAGGACCAAATGTCTGTCTTAATATACAGAGATCAATTAATTGACCTGTTTTATAGCATGTACTGATGACAAAATTTTAATTTTAAATTTAAAATTAAACATGGAACCAACTCTTATATATCAATAAAGGATCATCCTTATTTTTCAGTAACATTTGAGTTAACATTGTAGAGAAAATTTATAAATATTGCTGTTAGACCAGAATTGTGTTGCAGTGCCAGCATATTCTCTGAACAACATATTTGAAACTGCATTATTACTATATTATGGCCATGGAATTGAAATTAATGGAATATAATTTGATAATAAAGTTTAATTATTGTGCATTAAGTGATCTATATAAGTCGATCTGCTATAATTGCAATTTTTTTTTTTTTTTTTGTCTTCTGTGAAGATAATTGCTGTCAGACATCTTGCTTAGGAAAGACAAATGAGGATAAATAGAGTTTAAATAATTTCTGAATGGTAATGTTACAGGTGTGGAGAAAGTTCATATTTAAAGATTTTTTTGTGTGTGTGTGTGTGCGCATGTGGGACAACATTGTATCGTTAGTTTTACCATTTATTAATGGTTTTGTAGAGCTCTGTTCTGTAATTTACTGATATTAGCGATGAGCTTATTTTGGCATTGAAAATTGGCTATTAAAAAGAATTTAAAGTTCAGTGAATTTGATGAAAGCAATATTAATGCAATTTATGAAAGTTGCATCAGATAAGTCTTTTATATGAGCTTTGCGATTCATATATTAGTTGCTGGATGTTTCCAGAGTATTGATGTAACTAGTTGGCTGTTATTGATGTTAGCATTATTATTTTTGCTGATTTATTATCATCACTTTTTCTTTAGACGTTTCTCTGGTTCCATTTTCAACATTAATAATGTTGGCGTATTACAATATTGTATAACCAGTAACCTGTATTCAGCTAGAGGAACTTTGCCATTCTCAAAAATATCAGTATACTTAATTTGAAGATGCATGAATGAGTATGAGTTTTCTGACATTTGAAACTGATAAAAAAAAAAACATTGTATGGTCTTGTTAGCCAACTGCTATATAAGGCAATATTTTTTTAGGGTAATTTTTACCTTTCGTAATTGCTTCATAGGGAGAAGAAATTTCCTTCATGTGAAATTGGACTCTTATGAACTATTTTCAGTTGCAGTTAAGGAAGGAGGTTCTATAAAATCATTGTAAACATTTCAATAATTTTTACTACATTGGCCATATCCCGCCAAGGCACCAAATTTATCATATACGTAATCTGATTATATTATTATTATTCCTGCTAAGGCAGGGTGACCCAAAGACAGAAATATTTTCATCATTCATTCATTCAATAGCTTTCTTGCTGGAAGTGTGCACAGGCATCACAATTCAAATAGCCTCTAAACTGCATCATCCCCACTACAGAAATGTGTATACAGTGGACCCCCGCATGCCGTTGGCATCACCTAACGTTAAATCCGCATACCGATACATTTTATCGCTAAGATTTTGCCTCGCATACCGCTAAAAAACCCGCTCAACACTATTCGTCCGAGACACGTCTAATGTGCTGCCTGAGCCAGCCTCTCATGTTCCGCCGGTGGCATTGTTTACAAGCCAGCCTCCGCGGTAACATCCAAGCATACAATCGTAACATTTTGTATTATTACAGCGTTTTTGGTGATTTTATCTGCAAAATAAGTGACCATGGGCACCAAGAAAGCTTCTAGTGCCAACCCTGTGGTAAAAAGGGTGAGAAATATTATCGAAATACTGTGGTACCATGGTCAACTGCTGATGCTGCTGCTGCTGTAGCACTGTCAGCTGCTGATGCTGCTGTAGCACCGTCAGCTGCTGCTGCTGTACCACTGTCAGCTGCTGCTGCTGCTGTAGTACCGTCTGCTGCTGCTGCTGCTGCTGTAGTACTGTCTGCTACTGCTGTAGCATCGTCTGCTGCTGCTGTAGCACTGTCAGCTGCTGCTGCTGCTGCTGCTGTAGCACTGTCAGCTGCTGCTGCTGTACCACCATCAGCTGCTGCTGCTGCTGCTGCTGCTGTACCACCATCAGCTGCTGCTGCTGCTGTAGTACCGTCTGCTGCTGCTGCAGTACCGTCTGCTGCTGCTGTAGCATCGTCTGCTGCTGCTGTAGCACTGTCAGCTGCTGCTGTAGCACTGTCAGCTGCTGCTGCTGTAGCACCGTTGTTGGTGTGGCTTATTGAGAATACCAAGAAACAATTAACCCCAGGGGTTAGCCCCCCAGGATAACCCAAAAAGTCAGTGTCATCGAAGACTGAAAACTTATTTCCATTGGGGTCCTTAATTTTGGGTCCCCCAGGTTTGCAACCCACACCAGTCGACTAACACCCAGGTGAACAGGGAAAAACGCCTGGAATAGTGTCATATTGGTGAATTTAAAGCCAGAAAAAGGTTGGTTTGAGAGATTTAAGAATCGTAGTGGCATACAACAGTGTGATAAGGCATGTTCTGGAAGAAAATGCAAACAGGACCTACAGTACTCAGGAGGAAAAGGCACTCCCAGGAACAGTGTCTCATCAGTCATTGCTGCATCTTAAAAAAAGGTAAGTATCATTTATTCTTCATTTAGTAGAGTAGTACATGCACAATATATATTGTGCATGTACTACTATACTATTGTGCATGTATCCTTCTCTTTGTGTGTAGGAAAATGTATATTTCATGTGGTAAAATTTTTTTTTTCATACTTTTGGGTGTCTTGCACGGATTAATTTGATTTCCATTATTTCTTATGGGGAAAATTCATTCGCATAACGATAATTTCGCATAACAATGAGCTCTCAGGAACGGATTAATATCGTTACGCGGGGGTCCACTGTACTAATTTCAGAACATTTTAAGGGTGGAGAGGTTAAATTAAGTAAATACATTCTAGTAATTCCTAGTGATAATTTTATGCATTTAATCTTAAAATATGGTCATGTTAGCAGTATTTACAGCTCTTATCAAATTTAAGAGAGGAGGAGTTGGATTTTGGCTTGAGTAGTATCTGCCAAGTATGAGATGGTAGGCTTGCTGCATTGTTTCTCCATTCTTGTGTTCTTATGTTTAATATATCAATTAAAGGGAAATTTTTATTCTGTTTGGTAATGAGTTATATGGTCAAATATCTGCATTGCTTCAATTTCTTGATATATATTTATTATTTTTAAATATTATAGGAAATTAATGAGACCTGTTAATTTTTTATGCCTAAATTTCAGACTGTGTGGATATAAATCATACTTTTTTTCTAATTACTGAAATATTTTATGAAATTGATCAGACTTTAGTTTTTATTTTAAATACTTGGATTGGAGATAGCATTCAGCTGGACTCCATGAGTCTGAAAAAATGGAGACCAAAGATATCAAAGTTGGAGGGCTATAGGGAGATTGTTGAGTGCTTTTGTGCAGGGAAAGTGATTGAGAGCTCTGGAGGAACAGCACTCTGCATTATAAAACTGATAACTAAAGTTTCACTTCCTTAATATCTTCTTGGTATGAAATGTCATGCTATGAAGTGGTACTATTAAATCTTTAATGCTTTAGAATAAAGTCCATGAAAAAAAATCAGTACAATCTTTATAAAATATTTATAGAACATTAAATTTGATTCCCCCTAATTTAAAAGGGCTGAAATATATGCTGGATAAAAATTTTAAAAATGCCAGTATTTTTTTTGGTGCTTCCGTAATATATCGAAAACCAAAAACCCTTTTTTTTTTCTGATTTTAAATGTTTATTAATTTTCCTTCTTTTTAAGGAGAGATGTGGAAGAAAAAATGAGGGCCCTAATTATATTCAAATTGCTCTTGTTGGCAGAATTACAAATTTTTTAAAAAAGTTTTTATTTTTTGGATTTTCTAAAACAGTTTATTTTTTCAAATTTTGGTTACTTATCTTACTACTGTCAGTTTTGTTAAAGTGCTCTTTATTTTTATAAAAAGGAAAATTACTTTGGGGGATTTTTTAAAGAAAAAATTTTTTGTTTTGCTGTTACGTAGTAAGAAGACCTTGAAATGTGGTTTTTGGGCCATCTTTTTTTACTTTTTGCTAGAGAAGCCAGGGACTTCAAAAAAAACTAAGAACTTACCTCTTTTTTTTCAGAATAGTTAATTTTAAAAATTTAAGTTAACATTTGGGTAAAAGTTCTTTACCACTTATACAGTGGGGGCCCCCACTTTTAGGGCAGGTTAAGTCCCAGGTTTCCCCCTGGAAGTGGAATCGAAACCAGAATAAATTTTTTCCCCACTTTATAAATGCTTATAAATCCCCAAGAAAAACAAGTTTAAAACTAACGATATTAATTTAAAGCAATAAAACAAAGCATTAAAAAAAAAAAAAAAATAAAACCCCACACCCGTACACTCATTATTTACCTAAAAATTATTTGTAGCTTTAATGTAGGGTGAGGGGTGATTAAATTTAAAGAGAGAGAGGAGAGGGGGAAATGGAAAATTAAGAGAGGACAAGAGCCCCGGTATAAAAAACCAAAATGGAAATTTAACCGTAGGGTTTTGGTTGATGCCCCTTTTTTTTCCCAGTCAAAATGAACTTATACCATAATCCCAAAAACCCCTTTTCATGTGTAAAAAGTTTTTGTCCAAGTGGGTAAAGTAGAAAAAACCCGAGGGGAACGTTAAATTCTAATTGTAACACACCTTTTTTTTAAAAGGGTTAAAAACACTGAGTGAAGGCAATAAAAGGAATACTTTTCTGCAGTTACCCCCTTAATACTATTGGGGTACATATTTTCTTTGGGTGTTGCTTAGAAGGGTTATTCTTTCCAACACTTTGGAAAAAACAACTGGAAAAGCATTTATAATAAAAAAAGGCCCATTTTTAATTTTTAATTTTTATTTTACTTTGGGATGTATTATCATTTTTTATATGATAGTAGCATTTTTTATTTTTAATTTTGAAAAAAATCATAGATGGTTTTAAATCAAAATATTATTTTAAAACATAATTGAAAATTAAAAAAATTTTTGTGCCCAGGGGATTAAAATTGTGTTTTTATTATCATTATTAATAGGGGCATTTTTCAAACAAATAATTTTTCAAGTTATACAAAATATAAATTTTTTAAAAACATTTGGGAAATTTTAAAAATTTTCCAGACTTTAATTGAGAGACACGGAGTCTGGAAAATGAAACAAACGGGTTTGGGGGTGTGTGACTGTTTTAAAAAAAGCAGGTGTGGGGAGCTTTTATAGAGTTTTTGGTTTCAAAATTTTGGGAAATGCCGTATTAGTGGAATGCCAAAAATGGGTCCCCTTTGCTGTTTGTGGAAGTTTTTCATTTGATGGTTAAAATTTTTTAGATTGCAGTATAAGCTTGTAAAAAAATGAATTTTTAATGTTTGGAGACAAAAAGAAAAATTTAAATAGGGGAAGGGAGAAAATAGGGTAGAGAATATAAAATACATTAATAAATGGAAAAAATCCCCAAAATTTTAAAAAAAAAAATTCTTAAATACAGTCAAGAATCTTTAGAACTTAATATATAAATTAGGGGAAAGGGGGAGATTTTTTTAAAAGGAATTTTAAATTTTTAATTATTGGAGTATAGACAGTTTGGTTTTGGATAAATATATGTAAATTCCCAGAATTTTTAAAGACCGGGAAAAGTATCTAACTTTTTTCCCTTGAAAAAATCTTGCAAATTTTTAACCCCCCTTAGAAAATCAGGTTGGATCTTTAAAAAGTTGCAGGGCTAAAAATGGTCAAAAAATTTTTGGGGCAACTTTGTTTTGCCATTACAACAATTTTAAATAAGGAGGTAGAGTTGAGATAATTGGGAAATTTTTTTGTTTCCCCAAAAATTTAAAAAAAAAATTTTTTTCCCAAAATTTCCGGTTTTTTATTAAAAAAAAAAAAAACCTTTTTAAAAAACCCCCCAAAAAAAAAAAAATTTTTAAATTTTTTTTTAAAAAAAGGTTTAAAAAATTAAATTTTTTTTCCCCCCCCCTTTTTCTTTTTTTTTTAATTGAAATTTTTAAAAAATTTTTTTTTTTAAAATTTTTAATTTTTTTAAATTTTTAAAAAAAATTTTTAAATTTTGGTAATTAAAAAATTTTTTTAAAAAAAAAAAAAATTTTTTA